GTCTGTCTTGGGACCAGTGCTCTTTAACATCTTTATCAATGACAACGATGACAGAATTGAGTGCACCCTCAGCAAATTTGCTGATGACACCAAGCTGAGTGGTGCAGTAGACACGGTTGAAAGAAGGGATGCCATTCAGAGAGGCTTGAAAGGTGGGCCCGGGTGAACCTGATGAGGTTCAACATGGCAGAGTGCAGAGTTTAGCACTTGGGCCGGAAAAATCCCAGGCATCCCTACAGACTGGAAGGAGCGGTTCTTGAGATCAGCCCTGTGGAGAAGGACCTGGGGGTCTTGATGGGTGAAAAACTTAACATGAGCCAGCAGTGTGCCCTTGCAGCTCGTAAGGCAAATGGTATCCTGGACTCCATCAAAAGAGGGGTGGCCAGCAGGGACAGGGAGGTGATTGTTCCCCTCTACTCTGCTCTTGTGAGGCCCCATCTGGAGTACTGCGTCCAAGTGCAGAGCCCCCAGTACAAAAAAGAGAGGGAGCTGTTGGAGAGGGTCCAGAGGAGGGCCACAAAGATGATCAGGGGACTGGAGCACCTCCCCTACAAAGGCTGAGGGAGCTGAGGGAGCTGGGCTTGTTCAGCCTGCAGAAAAGAAGGCTGCGGGGTGACCTCATTACAGCCTTTCAGTACCTAAAGGGAGCCTATAAATAGGAGGGGAATCAACTCGTTGAAAGAGTAGATAACTGCAGGACGAAGGGAAATGGTTTTAAGCTGAGGGAGGGTAGATTTAGTGTTCAAGGCCAGAGTGGATGGGGCCCTGGGCAGCCTGGTCTAGCATTAAATGAGGAGGTTGGTGGCCCTGCATGTGGCAGGGGGCTTGGAGATCCTTGAGGTCCCTTCCAACCCTGGCCATTCTGTGATTTTGTGGTTCTGTGGTTCTGTGACTGTTTGTTTCTGTCTGTCTACTTAAAAGTGCAACAGCATGTAGTTTGAAAGTGGTTCCTAATATTATGGTTTGGATTCTATGACTCACTATCAACAAATCAGACAATACCAAACTGCAAGTACTAAGCGATCTGTCATTGACTAGCTTCGATTGTTTGCTATCTTAAGCTTATATTATCTATCCCAATTTATTATTGGCTTTGATATCATTCTGAAACAACAGACAGTGTAGTTTGGAAGCAGAAGGGAGTACTAATTTTAAAAAGCTCTGATTTCTTAGCCACATGATTAGTGCCATAATGGGCAATCTTTGACTAACCATGCAACATTCAGTGACCACATTAGGAAAGTTTACAGTGGAACTGACACCATCTCCATACTGAACATCAGTGTATCTGTACTGCAGATAATATTGATACTAAATAGGGAAAATATCACTGGGAGTTCACCAGCTCTATGACACTGAAATGCAGAAGTCTTCTGTGCCTATATTAACAAATATTCATATATTCATTAATGCACTGTATATATATATAATATTTATATATAATGTATTCTCTATAAATATCCTATATATACATGGCACATATGTATTTCAGCATCTTTGGATGGGAAAGTTAAGAAGAAAAATGTTTAACTGATTTATAAAATGTTGTCCTGGTTGAGAATGCAGTAACTTTAAGTGTAAATTCAAGAATTTTGCCCCAGGTGTGAAACATATTTTACAAGCTGTGCATACTTTTCTATTTATTTTTAAGAACAGAAATAGATGTCCAAAGAAGAGTTTTCAGTGGATGATGATTGGAGAGTTTGTAGCTAAAAAAGCAAAACATTTTGGCCTAGATTCATCTTACTTAAGCCATATAAGTCTAATCCATCTGTAAAAGCTTTCTCTGCATTTACTGGAGAAATGTAGGCAAGCCCAGAGGGCATTCATTCCATTTGTCTCTTATGGTCTTTCCCTCTCCATTTCATGTGCATGTAGGCATTACCTGGTCACCAGGCAGTACTGATTACATCATCATCACGGGGTAGTTCCACTTGTGTTAAACTAACCAACCAATACACAGGGCTTACTCTGGCTTCACATTAGCCACAGCAAGACAGCAGTGAGCACGAAATGGGAGCAGCATGGACAAAAAGGATGTACTCTGATACAAAATATACGAGAAAGAAAGTTGCGGAACTTTTTATTAATAGGTGCAAAAATTTAGATTGGACTTCTCTATGCCCAATATTTGGCATTATGTAGTTAGATTTTTGGTGGTTGTTTTGTAATGAAGCCCTAAGCGTCATACAAATGCTTTGTTATTTTTTGCACTCAAAGATGGGTTGAATGGCCCTTTGGAGCTACCTGTTTTCTTCTGTTAAATACATATTGGCATCAACACCTACATTTTGTCTTAAATTAATTGAGATGAACTCATTTTTTGTGTTTAACTGCTATTTCTACCGTCAGACTTTTCAATGAATGAACGAACATTTGGAATAAATGAAATGTATATGTCACAGCAGCAATACACAAAAAATTGAGAAATTAGAAGATTTTTTTTTTCCTGCTGCTATTAAGCTCTTTTATTTATGTATGTATTTGATGATTCTCAGAATTTGAGAAAATATGTTCACTTATCAAAGGTGATGAGATTCCAGTCAGATATTAACCAGACTGGCTACGTACACTGAATAAAGGTGGTGACAATTTCTTGTAAAACACTAAAAGTATCTGATATAATTGATTCTTTTCATTGTTTCTTAAAATGGCTTTGTTTGATTTTGGGAGAGTTTGGACTTCATTTTCATTACCTGCTTCTGAACAATTTACAATGGGATACAGACGGTATTGAGCTAATGAGTTAGGATTTATACTGAGCCTTAACTATCTTCATGAAGTAACAAGGGAAAGAAAATCACGGCAATAATGGAGTGTTTTTTTCATTATAAACTGTGTTGTACAGCTTTTACAATCAGGTTTTTAATAGATGTAGAGAAATTAAATTGGAATTCTACCAACTTCTGTTTTTGTCATCCCATAAAAATGATCTAAAAAAAAAAAGTCAAGACAAATGTGCTAATTCCTTTTCTACCAAAGTGAGAAGGAGGTGGTATTACTTTAGTTTTTTTCCAGGCCTTGTTTATTGGGTAGTAAGATGTATGCAGAAAAACATTCAGAAATATGCACTTTACCGTATTCCCTAACTCTGAATTTAGACTAAATTGGTTTTGACTCATCAAGACTTATCAGTTCTCATGAAAGTAGTAGCAAGTTTCAGTAAGGAGGATGACATTACATGCCATAGGAAAAGGGAGATCATATATTCTTGATGTGCATTCATGCTGCTGAGAATGCATGCAAGTAGGGATATTAATATATTCTAACATTGTTTATTAATGGTATGCAATAAACATCAAACTCATACAATGATTATGTGGATTATTTGGGTGTGTAAATCATAGAATCATAGAATCACAAGGTTGGAAACGACCTATAAGATCATCTAATCCAACTATCTTCACACTACCACTGCTACCACAAGCTACTAAACCATATCTCGCAGTTCCTCATCCAGACTCCTCTTGAACACTGCCAAGGACGGCGACTCCACCACCTCCTTTGGCAAAATATATGATATGCGCAGTCTCTACATTACACCTTAATATGCACAATGAATATTGCATTTTCAGAACAAATCTGAGAAAATTTTAAGTGAATTTTTATTGTCCTTTAATTGTATTCTTCCATTTAATCCTGTGCATATTTGTATCAGGGAATCTGCTATAATAAAAAAGAATATTTCACAAATATATGAACTCATCTCAACCCCAATTTATCCGCATTCCATTCCACTAGCAAAAGACTTCAGGAATCATTAAATAATTCCATATATTTTAATTAATCATATGAAACAAAAATTGAATATTCAACACAGAAATGTCAACCAGGCATGTATGAACGTGTGCTGGTGCCTTCAGTAAATGAATTTTTTAGTTAATTTCTACAGTGTTCATTCATGAATACAAGAAGAAATATTAACGTAGTTTGAATTTGAATTGATGTAATAGGCAAAATTCTTTGTTTCAGACATAGTGAACACATATAAAACAAATTGCACAAGTAGTTTTTTTCCACTTGCTATTAATGACAGAAGTATACGTAAAAATATTAATACATAAAACACAAACTTCATATGAAGGAGCACAACTCTAATACATTTAGGTTTGTGCTCTGGCTGGACTTGAAAATTTATCCTTACATTTTCTTCAGTAGGTGGAAAAACAAACAACAAAACCTCAAAAAAAGTCCTTCCCCTATCCCACGTATTCAAAAAATAAAATAAAAATTATTCTTTGCAAGAAAAGTTAAATTACTGGCCTTCCTTCAGTATTCAGATATCTTAAATTTGGGGTCCTCCTTCATCCAAATAATATATATTCATTCCCCACAGGCAGCAGTGATGGTTCTTGGGATAAAGAAAAACTTCAGTCTCCCCCCACCCAAGGATCACAGGCCTCTATTAACCACCCCAACTTGCCTGGACAACATAATGTTCCAGTTAGCCATCCTCTCAATCCTCTTCAACAGAACCACCTTCTGCCAAATGGTACGGGTTGACATCTTTCAGCACTAACATCGGCAGTTTTCCAATTCTTGTCTTTATTTTGTGTTTACATAAATAGGCTATCAGAAATCAAAGATGTGGGGAGTGTTAGAATATTTCCTTCAAAGTAACAACCAGGAGAAGTGGAGATGAGAAAGAACAAATCTGTATGCAATACTTAAAATAATTGATAACCTGTGTATAAGTGGCATAGTAATGCATTGCTAAGGCATCTGGCAGAGTATATTAAAAATCCTAATAAACTACTGTTGTTTATAAATGATACTGTATAACATTACACTGATATGAAGAAATTAAGAGGTATAGCCTCTCCTTGTGTCTAAAAACGCTCCACTGTTGCTTGTGATTTACACATGTATAACTCAGAGAAGAAGCGACATACTGCTGTATTGTCTTGAAATGTTAATCATCCATCTTGTCCATCAGGAGAAAAAAATAAAAATGCAAAAATAAATAAACCTATTTCCTTCTTTTCTTTTTTTTCCTCCAGGATTGGAGCTTCCATTTATGATGATGCCCCACCCATTAATTCCTGTGAGCCTACCTCCAGCATCTGTCACGATGGCAATGAGCCAGATGAATCACCTTAGTACCATTGCCAACATGGCAGCAGCAGCACAAGTGCAGAGTCCTCCATCCAGAGTTGAGACATCTGTTATTAAGGTAATATTAAGAGGGAGGTAAAATTGTTGTACATTCACATTACAAAGATAAGTAGGTGTCAGAAGTTTTAAGGTAAGTCATGAGGTCAGTACATACAAGAAAAACATTTTTTGTAGCTCTGAGGAGAAGTAGGCTTCTGGTGTCCGGTTTTACCTTCTCAATTCTCCCCTCTCATAATCAATATTAAAACAGTGCTCAACTTAAGGCAGCTTTCATATAGAATACATCGCTTTCTGATTTCTTGTGTTTAACAATCTGTAATCTAATAGCATGTTCCTCTACATGTCAAGTTAAAAACTACTTCATTGTTAAATTGGAACAGATCAAGACAATCTGTCTGTGTTTTCAACTTGTAGTTGTAAGTATTTCTCAGATACCCCAAGCATCTGAGGAAGACTGAAAGGCTTGATACTTTGCCTCTAAATTGCCAAATACTGTAACAGAATGCATTACAGTTGTGCAGAACAGACCCAGTAATCTTCAGACCAGAACAGTAGTAGCAGTGTAGAGAAATCTCAGCCTGAAACTTCCTACCCATGTTAAGTTTTATTGCCTCCAAGAGCAATAGCCTCCAGCCCAGATCAATTTGATTGTTGAGCTATTTAGCAGAGTAGGAGACCTACCATGGCACTGCTGTCGTATCTTTGATGATACAGAGTGTTCAGACATTGCTTTTAGAAGAATTGTTTGTTGAGGTGCTGTGTCAACAGGACTAGATTCTGTCCCTTATGTCTGACTTACTCAACATGGATATATGTATGCTCTGTTGATAATTCACTGTTTGATTTTATAGTGGTTTCTGCACCTTTCTTCTGCTTTCACTTGAACTGTCTTTAGTAAGTGCAAGTTTGCTGATGATACAAAGCTGGGAGGAATGGCTGACACACCTGAAGGCTGTGCTGCCATTCAGCTAAACCTGAACAGACTGGAGAGCTGGGCAGAGAGGAACAAAAGCAAGAGTGGAGTCTTGCAGCTAGAGAGAAATAACCACATACACCAGTACAAGTTGGGGGATGACCTGTTGGAGAGGAGCTCTGCGGAGAGGGACCTGGGTGTCCTGGTGGACAACAGGTTGGCCATGAGCCATCAGTGTGCCCAGGTGGCCAAGAAGGCCAATGGCATCCTGGGGTGCATTGAAAAGGGCTTGGCCAGCAGGTCATGGGAGGTGATCCTCCCCCACTACTCTGCCCTGGTGAGGCCTCACCTGGAGTATTGTGCCCAGTTCTGGGCTCCCCAGTACAAAAAAGGCAGGAATCTCCTGGAAAGAGTCCAGTGGAGTGCCACAAAGATCATAGAGGGCCTGGAGCATCTGTCTTTTGAGGAAAGGCTGAACAACCTAAGTCTGTTCAGCTTTGAGAAAAGAAGACTGAGAGAGGATCTGATCAATGTCAATAAATATCTAATGTGCTGGAGGCAAAGGGACAAGGCCGGACTCCTCAGTGGTGTGCGGCAATAGGACAAGGGAAGCAGCCATAGACTGAAGGAAGTTCCAAACAGATGTGCATAAGAACTTCTTCATGGTAAGGGTGATAGAGCACTGGAACAGGCTGCCCAGCAAAGCTCTGGAATCTCCTTCTCTGGATATGTTCAAGACCCATATGGACACCTACCTGTGCAACCTGGTCTGGGGAGCCTCCTTTGGTAGGAGGCTTGGACTCTTTCAGCCCTTACAATTCTGAGATTCTGTGTAGAGTTGCATGATACTAAAGTTGTTCTTTGAAACATAAGTGGTGCTATGTTTCATTCTAAATTTATTTTCTTAATGGGAACAGTGACCGCTGGTATTAGAGAGGTATCTAAAAAATGAAGATTGGGATGGAGCACACGCAGAACTACAGTTGAGAAGTATGAATTACTAAGAAAACAAAAGTTTGTTTTCACTATTTACTAATATTTCATTTTTTTTCATTATCTGCAAGTATTTTAGTTTCTATGTGAGAATTCAGAATTTGATTTTTCACTAGTATTTGTAACTTTCTGCTTAAAAATTTTGTCAAGCGTATGCAGTTGTAGTACAGTGTAGCTCCTGGGTTATGTAAAAAAAATAAATTACTTTTTAGGAAGCAGGTTATGGGAACTGAGCCTGCTGTGTTCTCAGATCTGACCCCATTATGGCAATATTGCTGGAACCTGGAGGGACTTAGCTGAGAAATACTCTTGGTTAATCAGATCTACAAAATTATTGGATTCTGAAAGAGAGACTATCATCATGTAATTATGTGTATTATTTTAACCACAAATAGAACCATACCAGGTTTTTTTCCTTTTCTCAGGGTTCCTTAAGGTCTTCAAAGTTCATTCTTGTAGCTCATCTAGTTAGAAAGAGTGTTTCCAGCCTCGGTGAAGATTTTGAAAGTAATTAGCAATTTTGATTTTGAAACATTTTAGCAGTGTTTTGTAACTGAAAAATCATTTTTTTTCTCAAAAATGTTGCTATTTAGACATGTGTTTGTATTAGTAATTGACGCTATTTATCTCTTCTTTATCTACACATGTAATTTTGAAAATTCAACCGTCTTTTATTTATGCTAGTAAAATCTTCACCATAGAAGCCAACTTTTTGCAGCTTCTGCATAACATCTTGTGCATTATTTAGCAAATCAGGTTTCATGTTCCCACCCGGTTCACACATAACCATAAATTAGAAAGTTGAGGATTTACAACAAAGCATTCTTAAATGGCCAAATTAACATTTGTTCTTTTTTTTAAGTGTATACTCATTCAGGAATGAAGTACATATTCTTCAAAGTTTTTACTTTGATCTAGTTTCACAATTTTTGGATATTTACATAAGACCCAATGAAGTCACTATCAAAGCATCACTGTATCTTCTTCAGTCACAACTTGTAACATATTTGTTGAGAATACGTTTATACTAAATGTAGATACGTAAATAAAAGAGTGATAATCTGCCATCCAGAACTCATATCTAACTGTAAACTCTTCCTGCATATAATCATTTTAGTAATTCTGTGAGTGCTTAAGATCTGATACATGCTCCTACTCTTCAGCACCTTTGTGAAACACCATGTCCACATTTATGTCTTCTGCTTTTGCCTAGGAGAGATGAATATGATCAACTGCCAAGTATCTATGATCATAATTTTTAATACTGAATAGGATTGAAAGAGAAACCTGATCAACATGAAAAGCATGAGGTCACCATTTGGGGAATTTTTTTCCATAAGCATGGTTGTAATGCCATTGGTAATTTACCTACCTCCCACTAGCAACAGTCAGAGGCAATGAGCTTAGTGCCTGTTAAATTTTATGCACTGAGTGAGTAGATGAGAATCAAACTCTGATCAGCATACTTTCTGAACCTTGTGCTGGCAATGAATAATAACTTATAACTGCAATTAAAATAAATATTGTAGAGAACAGTTGTAAGTGAGAAGGACAAAGCTGTTTTTTCTTTATTTTTATAAGAATGGATAAATAGTGAATTTGTGCTCTTTCATAAAAGTGTTTGTTATTAGAGGCATATCTTCATTTCTTCTGCTGCTAATTTTTTAGACTTTTTGTTTTTGTTTTCTTTATCTTCTGGATCAATCCTTTAACCCTTATTTTACTTAAATATTTTTCTTCAGTGACAAATTTTCCACAAGCTATTTTGAAAGACTGTGAATCACGATATTAGAGTTCATGATTATAACCTGAAATGTCAATGTATGTAGATTACTCTGAAAGTAATGCCTCCTATTTTTTTCCATAGAAACTAAAACAGATTTAAAGAACATAATGACACTATTTGATAGACCAAATTTTCAGCTACTTATGTTTTCAACACAGTCACCACCATTAGCTGTGCTTTTCCACGAGTGATGAACAAGAACCTATACACTATGTATGTAAAATCTGCACCAATGGAAGTGACTCACTGTTGTTGTTGTCACTGCTGAAATGCACCACCCACCACCTCGCTGTGGTTACATCCACTATTTGGTCTCCATAAACATTCAGCAAGGTTCAGTGAATGTCAATGGGTGCCATCTTTTCCATGTGGAGGAGTTCAGTGATGCAGCTTTGCTCCATATGTGCTTCCATGTCGGACTCCATTTTGGCAGACTGTCCCTCTGCTACCATCTGTCACATGGCAACAAAATGTAATGGAATATTGGTGGGAAAGTTCAGCCTCTACTGTTGTATCACCAACATCTGCCTCTGACATCGTAGGCCAACGTCATTAAATAAGAGGAAATTATTTTTGGAACATCCCTTGTGCATTCAGAACTACAGTATAAGATGTATATAAGTCTAAACTCTGAAAGTTAGGTTACCTAAGATAAATTTCTACTCTGAAAAGTAATAATCTAAAGTAACTTTATCTAATTAAGTAAATGAGAAAAAAAGTTAGGTCTTTGCATCTCTAGCTTATAAATCTGCTGTTTCACTGGATGGAAGAACTGACTGTTCAAACAGTGCCACGATAGATGACTTGTAGACCTTTCCTTCCAATTCACTGAGTTCAGAGTTAGTGTTGTTATCTTCAAATTCAAAGAGCTTCAAATATTTTTCTGTTAGTGGGTTATATTCGTTTCTTCATAATAAGAAAGTGGAATAAAGCTAAGATTATGTGTTAGCCAAATGTTTTATTCTGCTGTGTTCAGAAGAAGAGACAAAGACAAAAGTAAAAGTGAAACCTTAGACAGCAACATTTTGGATTTGGCAATTAGCACTGAAAATTCTATTTCTGAAGAGTATTGTGCCCTTTCAAACAGGTAAATTCTAGATGTCTTTTTGGAATTTAATGTTTAGATACATGAGGTGGATGAATAAGAGGAGGGCAATAAGAAGCAGGGATAGCAGATTCTGATGGCAGTGAATAGCAGTAAGTGTGACAGCTGTGACCTGGGGATACTTAAGACATGAGGTGGCTTTCATAACTTGCCCATGGTTTCAAGAATTCCGCTTGTTAGCAGTTTCACTGCATCAGTTTTTTTTTCAGTCAGCAGAAAGATATACAAAAATATAAAGGTCATGCCTCACATTAATAGCAA